TAGACAACTTCAGATCAAAAACTATTCCCAATAGATAAGTGGTCCAAGGATAGAAAATGAGAGCATTCCTTAAAAGAAGAATTGCAAATTATTAACAATCATATGAAATAAGTCAGTCAGTAGAAGAGATCAGCTACATAATATACAGAAACAAAAAAAAATAGGAGTCTAGTTTTTGATAAAGCCAAAGACTCCAGCTACTAGGAGTAAGAACTCACTAATTGACAAAAACTAGTGGGAAAGCAAATGGGAAAACTGGATCAATGGTCTGCCAGAATATATGTCTGAAACAACATGTTCAACAACGTCCTGAGATACACTCCCAAATGGCTAAATGACTTAGGGTGAAGGGTGACATCATTAACAGATCTGATCAGGGCAAAGGAAAGAGTGAGCTAAAATGCCCTAATAACATATAAGAAGAAGAAAAAAAAAGAATAGGTACTACCCAGAGGTGCGGTTAGATGGGCTGGGGGAAGGGAAGAGATAAGAAAAGACTTCTCAAAGTAGGTCATTCCAAGGAAGATTTTCTGAAATGCAGAGAGGAGTCATCAAGTCCATTCTAGTCTAGCACACACTTCTACAAATGCACGGACATTAAAGATGGCATGTTGAGTTTGGGGAACAAATTGGCTGCTGTGCACATAACAGTTTCGGTCCCTTGGTATACCAATTATCAGGGTCAGATGATTTCAATAGATGCAGTAGACAGCTACTAATATCATGTGACAAATGCTGAAAAGACTCCAGTTCCCCAAACACCATCTAGGTTCATGTCAACCTCTTTACTTACTCTGTGTCTGTCAATTTTTTTTTGAGGCAGGGAAAGAAGGGATGTGTTGTCACATCCAAGAAAAATCAAAGACCTTTCTTGACTCGGGTACTTTTTAAAAGAGTCCTGACTTTATTTTTTTTAATTGAACAGAAGTTTTCAGAAGAATCCAGAACTACAGCTTTAATTTAATGTTGGCATTAGTTTATGTCAAGCAAGAAAATGACATCTGAAATCCCCATTGCTTAGCACACGGTTAGACACATAATCAGCTCTTAATAAATGCTTGTCTATTGACTGGTTAAATAGATGCCATTTTGATCTGTGTGTATAACAAAAGATAGTATGAGGACCGAAATGCCCACTAATGTGAAGAACTGATCAGATGCAGGGCAGAGGTGGGGCTCGTCCTTTACATTTTTTTCCCATGGATTTAAAAAAATCCTTACAAGTGCTTCCTCAGCAAACTCAGAACATCATGTGGAGCCAGAAGGGACTGTGAGACGCCATCTACACCAATCACTTTATTTTACAGAGGAAAAAAGTGAAGTCCAGAGAAGTAACACAACTTGTTCAAGGTCACACAAGGAGTAAATAGCAGTTGGCACGGGAGGCTGGTGGGGGGAGGGGTTGGTGGAGAATTTGATTCCAGGTCCTGTGACTCCAAAGCCAATATTCTTTCTTCCATACTGTCCTGCCTCCCAAGTATCTCACCACCATTTCCTCCATTTTAGAGATATGGCATAAAACAAAGTGCATGTGATCACAGGACAGGAAGCGTGGAGGGAGAGAAAGAGAGGATAAAAGGAAAAGAGAGGAAGAAAGAGAGAGGGGAGGAGGGAGAAGATGGGAAAGAGAGGAAGAGATGGAAAGGGAGCAAGGGGGAGGGGAAAGAGAGGGAAAGGGAGAATGCAGGGAGAGGGGGAGAGGTAAGGAGGGAGGAGAGGGGGAGAGAGAGAGAGAGAGAGAGAGAGAGAGAGAGAGAGAGAGAGAGAGAGAGAGAGAGAGAGGGAGAGAGAGAGGGAGAGGGAGAGGAGAGGAGAGGGAGAGGGAGAGGGAGAGGGAGAGGGAGAGGGAGAGGGAGAGGGAGAGGGAGAGGGAGAGGAGAGGGAGAGGGAGAGGGAGAGGGAGAGGGAGAGGGAGAGGGAGAGGGAGAGGAGAGGGAGAGGGAGAGGGAGAGGGAGAGAATGAGAATTAGCACTCACGCTGAGTTGTAAAGTGGTCCTTGGTATGTCCAGTTGAGTAAGTGCCTTGAGGCTGATTAGCTCATTTTACTTATTGCTTCCTTGAAATAATAAGTAAGCTTTGGTCAAGTAGGCATAACAACAAAGTGTCCAGCTTTTTACAGTTTGCAAAACACCCTGTTGTCTCCTTGGATTCCTACCCCAGCCCCATGGGATTGGTACTATTCTTATCCCTACTCTGCAAGTGAAGAACCTGAGGCTGACAGAATTTAGCAACAAAGGATCACGCAGGTAGTGTGTGAGGTGAGATTTGAACTCAGATCTTCCTAATCTAAGTCCAGAGTTCTCATTCACTGTGGAAGAGGAGGTAAGATGTCTCAAATAAGCCCGAAAATATCCAGGTTTCACGGGAAATTCATTAGATCTCTGCCCCAAACTGTGCCGAAACACGCACTATGTTTCTAAGGGTTGGCTGTTTCTTGTTTGAGGCTGTGAGGGGCCGTTTTTGTCAAGATGTATATTCTCCCCCCCCCCCAAGTAATCAAGTACTCGTAAAAATAAACTATTTGTATAAGAAAAGGTCGGTCACTGGGACACCTCAATTTTTTTTTATCTGTACAAGGATGGGGTTGAATTAGGTCATGTCCAAGTCTAAACGGTATGCTTTCATGACTAGTTGATCTCAAAGCTGAAAGAAATTAAGGGACATGCCCAGGGTTACATAAAAGTCTCTTGTAACTACCATTAACAACAATAATGACAATAATAAGAATAACTGTGCAATGCTTTAATATTTACAATGACCTTTATATATGTTAGCTTATTTTAACCTCACAACAATCCTGTAAGAAAAGTGCCATTGTTATCCCCATTTTACAGATATGGAAATTGAGGCTGAGAGAGGTTAAGTAATTTGCTAACCATAACTAGTAAGGTTATGAGATAGGAACTGAAGTAAGATCTTTTGTTGTCCAAGTCTAGCTCTCAAGTCACAGCACCAACTAGGATTGAAAAAATCACTGCCCATCTCTGGACCTCGGTTTCTTTATTTAAAAAAATGAAGCAATTCAACTAGATAACCTCAAATGTCCTTTCTAGCTCTAACTTTCCACAATTTACTAACTGTGACCTTTGTCAAGTTTCTAAACTTCATCCTCCCCTGCCTCAATTTCCTTATTTGTCAAATGAAGATAAGGATGGCACTATTTAATTCCAGGGATTGTCATGGGGCTTCCCCAAGATAATGCATTCAAAGTACTTTACAGACCACAGAGATATTCATAAATGTGTTACAATTATTATATGCTTGCATCTTTTTTTTTCTCCCCAGCATCCTCCAGACCAGATCAGAAACACCACTGGCATTCTGTCTCTGAGGACAAAAGAAGAGAAGGTGCCTTGTCTCAAACTCCTCAGAGCTGAAGACACCAATGGCAGTCAGAGGAAAAGGTGGAGTCCCCCAACATTCTACAACATTGTCTGGAAGCCACTTTGGCTTCTGGCATAGTAATGACCCTGCTTAACAGGGTCCCCTCTCACCTACTTCAGATACATCCCACTCAGGGCCTTTTATACTCTACATCAGGGGTGTGGAACCTGTGGCCTCAAGGCCACATGTGGCCTTCTAGGTCTCTGGGTGTGGCCTTCTGACCGAGTCCAAGTTTTACAGAACAAATTATTTTATTAAGGGGATTTGTTCTATGAAGTTTGGATTCAGAGTAGATGTCTACTTACTTCAATGTGGAGTCTACATCATCCAATATGTTTGGTGAATAATATCAATTAAAGCAAACAATTCTTGTACTAAATCTGACTTCTACAAATTTGTAGTGAACAAGAATGATGGGAAATGATGATTTATCCAAAACTGAAAAAGAATTTGTAGTCAAGATAAGTCCTTTTTGCCTGTTTGAAAGGCAATGTAGGACAGTGGGAGAGGGCTGACCCTGCAGTCAGAAGACCTGAGTTAAAATCCTGCCTTTTACATGTACTAGCTGTTTGTCCCTGGATGAATTAGTTTACCTTTGTGGGCCTCAGTTTCTTCATCTGTAAAATGAGGCAGCTGAACCAAATAATCTTTGAGATTCCTTCTAGACCTAAATCTATAATCTTACGGTTCTATGACTTAACATCTTTCCCAGCAGGTACACAGCCTCAGTGAACTCAACATAAAATGGAACTAAAAATAATGCAGCACACATTTCATAGTACTCTTTTGAGGATCAAATGGGAAAGTGTATACAAAGTATACTTCAAACCATACAGAGTTATTTAAATGTGGTTTTTAGAAGCCAAATTCAAATAGTTACAACACCTTAAACCACCTCCCTCGTGCCCTCAATACAAGAACACTTACAGTCATTCTGTGTATCTTCCATTTGGGATACCTCTAATGCCAAACTACAGTTACCACATAGAATACCCTGTGAGAACCTGCTGCCCTGGAAAGAATTCTGGACCACATCTGCCAATTTTAATATCACATGCCTAAGGGAAATTTTACCTATCTGCATTGTAAAGAAACTCTGATTCCACATTTTAATTGCTTGAGCCCTCTGACAAAGTGGGATGCGATTAACTTAGAGTGTGGAGTAACTTGGGCTTTATGACAGAATTTAAAGGGCTCTTACAGCCTTTGAGCAGCAAGATACAACAAAGCTAAGCATCCGGTCCATAAGAATGAATGATTACAATTGCAAGCTAATGAATATCCCAGGAAGCAGCTATAACCTATGGTATGCAGCACTCTATCTGATCTTCTCCCCAGTTCACCCAGCCCTTGAAGGTATGGCATCACAGAATGTTTAATGCCATTGGCCCCATGTGCCAAAATTGCTCGTGCCAGCTCCACTTATTTACGTTTCTTGTAACTTTATCACAGTCATCGCTTCCAAGTCCTCAAGCCATTCTGTCAATGAATGACTCTCCGTTCTACAATCTTCAGTGAATTAAACAATACAAACATCCCAAGTCTCTTAGCTCCTCTCCCTGGAGGGCTTTATCCTCAAAAGCGTATAGAGAGAGCACAAATGAAATTGTTTTACCTGTCTGGTCGGCACCTTCGCTGCTGCCTTCCAGGGACCCCATGGAGCAGTTGGGTGGAGTGACTGAGGGGCTGTCAGGAAAGCTTTTACATGCTGGGAATGAGTTGGCTTCCAAGTCATTATGGCTATGATTCAAGCGGTGGAAATCCAGGGAAGACACAATCGATGTCCGTTGCTTAGGCTAAAATAAACAAATGTACAGAAAGTGTTTAGGAAGCTATTTCATTTCTACCCACTCCCCTTCACTTTAACCTTTGCCATTTTGTTTTCTGGTCTGGACCTGTGAATGCTTCCCTGTTGGCAATCCTGCATTTCAGAAATGTATTCCACTAATGTGGATTAACAACTCATGTAGCTGATAACTCACCCTCTGAGAGAGTTACTTGGAACAATAAGAGGTTAAGTCATGTGCCCAGGGTTATACAGCCAGGATGTGACAGAAACCAGGCTTGAACTCAGGTCTTCTTGACTCTAAGGCTGGCCTCTACCCACTCTAGCATGGCCTTGATAAAAAGTGCATATTAAATTGTATCAAACTACTACTTTCCTAGGTAAGACAGGGACACCATTAACCATTATGTTTTCAAGAGAGTCAGTGCACTTGGCAAAGACATCATATGGAGTAAGAGGTGCATGTGAAAAGCAACTCTCTTCATAGAAGCTGTTGTTATTGTTTGTCCTTCGTTCTCCAAGAAGACCACGACATCATGGGGGTGATGCCATGACATACAAGTGAATTGGACTGAAGTGAGAGAGGGCCACATAAAGTCACCCAGAACTCTCCTAAATGAATCTTTCAAAATCACTAGAGATGTCCTTTCATTTTCCATGCATTGACCATGACACTGAAAACCACTACCTAGAACGGCCAGTTCTGGGAGTTGCCATCTTTTATGATGAATGAGCTATGAGGAGGCAGCTCTGATGCATGTGAAAGGGTACTAACTCCAAAGTCAAAGGACTTGGGTTCAAATCCTACCTCTGCGAAATTTTTTTTTTTTATGCCTTGGATCTTGGGGGAATCACATCACTTCCCTGGCCTCAGTTTCCTCTTCTATAAAATGAGAGGAATTAAACAAGTGGCCTCTGAGGTGCCTCCCAGCTTTGGATCTCTGATCTTATTATCCTCACATCCCTCAAGGCTGGGACATTATAAATTGTTATTGTCTGGCTGCTGTTCTGGAACTCTGCCAGTAAAAATCAGGTAACGGGTATTCAATACAATACAAGGGACTCATATGGAATTTGCCAGAGGATATTTATTTATTTCTTAAAGATTTCCATTAATCTCCCAAAGCCATGCAAAGTCAATGGATGGATATGACTGCGAGACATAAAGAACCTCTGAGATCTGACCTATTCCCTTTGCCAATAATGGATTTATTCCCTTGTAGTCTTAATTAAATTATTCTGAATTGCAGAGCTCTCACCATCTTCCAACAGTACATGGTTCTTCTGACACTTTTCAAGCTATGGCTGGATGATCACTAATTGGGGAAGAGATCCATGCATCAGGTAGAGACTGGACTCAATGACCTCTAATTTCCCTTCCAACTCTGGCCTTCAAGGATGCTAATAAGCCTTCAAAGCTCTAGGCATTCTTTGAAGATTGGCCAAACTTTTTTTTTTGGTCCTGATGTTTGCACTACTGAAATATTAATATTTCACCATTGGCCTAAAATCCAGCACAAGTCAACTTAGTTCTCACTTCCATACCTTCTCCATGAACCTGATGCATTTACTTAATTTTGAGTCCATCCTCTGTGCTGGACTGTAGACACAAGGCAGGAGAACCAAGAGTTTCATTTCAACCATGTGAAGAAGAATTAAAAGGATTGAAACTTCAGTAATTTTCCCCTCTGCTATATGGTGCATTTCTGGACATTTATGGTATATTGCTGCTGTTCTCCTCTGCGTTTGCCATTTAAACTGCAGACCTGTGCTGCTTTCGAAGGACATTCACTGAGAGAAGCTGTCAAATGTGGTTTGGTGTAAAAAAGCCCTCGACTGGGTAGTAGGGAATCGGACTTTCCCCCTGACTACCAACGCAATCTTGGCCATGTTATTTCACACTGCTGGGACTCAATTTCCTTCTCTGTAAAATGAGATCAGATTAAATGATTTCTAAGGTCCCCTTCTGCTTAAGATCCTATAGTCCCACATTCTAATGTAGGCATATTTAAATCTCCATCTTACCCTGTTACATTTTTTTTTCTAAATTGTATCTGACTTTAATATATAGCCTGCCATTTTTTTCATTGTACAAACCTATGATTTCATTGGTGTGGGGAACTTCTGCTTGGCAAACTCCATCTGCTAATGTACATTGGCAATAAATTAGACAATAATTAATAATAATGATATTAGCATTAATCATTTACCAAAAACTCATATTTACATAGTACTTCAAGATTTATAAAGCCTCTTACATATATTGTGCGGATCCTCAAAATAGCTCTGTGATGCAGGAGTTATTATCCTCCCTATTTTACAGATGAGGAAACTGAGACTGAGAGGGGTTAAATGACTTAACTAGAGTAACCCTGTTACTAAGTTTCTGAGTTCAGATTTAAACCTATATTTTCCTGATTCCAAGAATACCCTCTGTCCACCGTACCATGTTGCTTTTCCACACCTTCAATAAATCTTTACAATAAAGATGAGAGAAATAAAGCCATTTTTATACCAGTTCTTCATGAAGAACTCAAGACTGTTAGCATGATATAGAGTATCCTTTCACCATTATAATTCCCTTCTGAAAGAGGAAGACTTTTAAAAAAATGCATCAGAAGAAACTCAAATAAAGAAAAGGTCATTCTTTATTATCCTTTGCCAGTTCAATGGCAGAACCAGAATCAGTCTTTGGGCCATTCAGTGTTCCTTTCGCTAATTAATTTGTACAATGTCATTAAATAGCACTAATAGCGATGTGGATCCTAAATGAGACTTGACCCAAGCTGTTGTGGGACAAACATGAGTCAGCCCAACACTCTCAGTTTTCCATTTGCCTTTGTGTCGGAACTGAGCCAGACATTGTATCCTATCATTTTCCCCCTCATGAATTTCATGTAGGTCAAGCTGACTTAGCCCTGTGATATATGTCTAGCGCTAAATGCTTTAGAAAACCAGATCTCTGGACCTTAATTGCCATAGGTAGGTTCCCCACTCCTGACATAAAGGAATGGTATAGAATGAAGATCTGGATTCAAATTACAGTTCTGCTACTCACTACCTGTGTAATATCTGATAATTAACTTTATCCCTCAGGGGTCCAGGAAACCCTCCAAAGCCATTCTAAGATGCCGTTGCTTCTCTTCACTGGCAGGGCTAAGTTTCTTACTGCTTTCCCTAGAAAGTAATGGAATCACAGGGGCAGACCGCCCCATCTCCCCTCAAAAATCTTGCATTTATTTCTCTGTTAACATGTTGTGTTTTCATTAAGAGAACGTCTCCATTTTTTATTTGTATCCCCAGTGCCTAGTATAACACCTGGCATATGGAAGGTACATAATAACTGACTATTGATTGATTATAACCATGGACAAGTCACTGAATCTCTCTGAGCCTTAGTTTCCCCATTTGTAAAATGAGGATGCTAATTCATTCTTAATTTCATACCAACTGCTATGAGGAAATTGCCTTGTAAGCCTTAAAGTTCTATACTTATAAATAAGAGTTCATAACAATATGATAAGACCACCGTTCCAAAATATTCACAACTTTCTTGTGAATATTTAGTTTAGCAATAATAATTACTAGCTAACATTCATAAAATGCCTTAAGACCTGCAAAGTGTCATACATATGTTATCTCATTTTATCCTCACAATAACCCTGTAGACAGTGTTATTATCCCCATTTTACTGATGAGGAAATTGAGGTAAACAGCAGTTAAGCGAGTTGCCCAGGATAACATAGCTAGGAAGTGTTTGAGCTGGGATTTGAACTCAGATCTTCATGGTTCCAAATCCAAAACTCTTACTCACTGGGTCACCTAGACACCTCAGCAAAATTTTAAACTACATGCACTACAATTACTAATTAAAAAAATGGTGATTGGATCTAAGTCTCTGACAACAGGACTTCTACACCTATGTAACAACAACAAAACAGCAGTAATAATAACAGCTGACATATATGCAACATTGCAAGACTCACAAATCTCACGTCTGTTACCTCATTAAAACTGCTCTACAACCCTGTAAGGCAGGTTTCATACATAGCTAGATGGCATAGTGGAAAAAATGCTGGACTTTGAGGAAAGAAGATCTGAGTTCAAATTCCAACTCACTTAATAGCTGTGTGACCTTGGACAATCAAAACCTCTCATCCTCAGTTTCCTGATCTGTCAAGGAAGGGGTTAAATTCCATGGTCTCTAAGGTCCCTTCCAGCTCTAAATTTATGATTCTATGATCCCCATTTCCAGATGAGAAAACTGAGCCAGACAGCTTCATTAACTTGCCTATGGACACACAGCTAGTCCTTTTCAGAGTCAGGATGCAAACTCAGGTGTGAACCTAAGGCTAGTCCTCCCTAAATTGTTAAGTAAGCCTCCATAAACAGGTCCCCTTCGCCCATTAGAAGCATGTAGAATTCTCACCCCAGTGAGATAGCCAAGATGGAAGGCTATTGCCTGGACACCCCTAGCAGAGCTCAGAAGATTCACTATTGGTTGGACAATACTGGTTGGATCCAAATAGCAATGACGGAAGGATTGATGCCAATCTAGAGGGAAGTCTACAATGGGAAGTTACCTGTCCCTGTTTTGTTGAACATTTTTATCAACGCTTTGGAAGAAGACACAGATGACAAACATAAAATTTAGAGATGACTCAAAACTGGATATGGGAACTAATGAACTGAATGACAGAGTCAGTGGAGCATCTAGGAAAGATTAAGAGGTGGAGGAAACCTCAGAGACCATCTACTACAAGCCTTGATTTTACAAAAGAGAGAATTGAGGTTCAAAAACATTCAGTGACTTGCCTAAGCACACAGAGGTAATAAAAACCAGAGGGAGGATTTGAATCCACAGCCCATGACTTGACGGCAAGTGGTCTTTCCACTATAATATATAGCTGCCTGGCTTATGCTCCTGTGGTCCAAAAAGAACCTGGCAGGCTTGAGTAGCTGGCTAAACCTAACACAGTGAAATTTAATGGAATAAACGTGTAGTCCTAA